TAAGGTTGAATGACAGTAGCCAGATACAGTAGTATACATTGTATGATTTCATTCATATAAAGCATAAAAATAGGCAAACTATCTGGGTTATTAGAGATTACCCTTTGGAGGGGGAGTGGACAGTGAATACAAAGGGGAGTGAAGTGCTGGTAATGTCCCGTTTCCTAACTGCGTGTTGGTTCCCTGCTGTGCTCAGCTTCTAAAAATTGAGCCATACATAAACAAAAACAGTGGTTAAAAACTCCAAATCTGGATTCAGATCCTGGCTCCAGCACTTAAAATTGAGGACTCTTTGTATCTAATTAGTCTCATGTCTTAGTTTCCTCATATCCGAGATGGAAGTAGTAACAGCAAGTATCTTCTGGGCTTATTATGAGAATTAAAGTAAGCATTTCACATAAAATGCTAAGCATACAGCATTGGAAAACCAAACCTTAGGTTAGACTCCACTGAAGACCTGGGTTTGCCTTGCCTCCATCCGTAAACTTTAAGGACCTGGAGCGCAAAGACACTGGCTACACTTCTTTATATTTTTTAATGCATTTTACATGTACTGGAACTAAAAAAATTACTTGTCAACTGAGAAAGAGAAGATTTGGGTGCACTAATTTATAATCTTGCAGCACTTGCTACAAGTATGCTAGAGTAAGTAACAGCTAAGCAAGAAAAAAAATGTCACCTTTACCTGAAATTCAGCTCCACCCTCTGTCCTTTCATTCTACCTATATATCAAGAAGTGCTTGTTTTGTATCTCATTCTTTGTCTCCCTGCTTTCATTTCCTGAGCAGCTGACTAAACTCAGTTGCTCCCACAGTGTCTAGGGGGCCATGTATAGAAAAACAGATCACTAAATAATAAGAAGAACTAAATTTTTCCCTCTCATGTTCCAAACCTACTTTTAAAAATATCCAGACTGCTCCCACTTTAATTCCATAGAGAGGCAAGCCAAAAACAAAACTTACCAAAACAGGCAAGAAAAAAAGCTTCCAAATTTATCCAGGAATGATAGAACTAAAACTAAGGAACACGTGAATGATAAATGAAGTGGAAACACCATGTGGACACTGATCATGGGGGGTTCAATTTAAAAAGAAAATAACAGCATTTCTCTAACAGTGTACTGCTTTACGGTCAATTTAGCAAAATCACTGGCTATTCAAGCAGCTTCTTACTCCTCATGATATCAGAAATGACTCCCTAAAATATATATGAAAATGTGGCCCCTTGAAGTCCCCCAGAAGTGCCATCTGGGGTGCTACATGTTACCGGAATTTGGGGTACCATATGATATCACCATATGCTTATTAATAAATCCCCAATATTAATAAGCCTGAGAGGGTTCTTGCCTAATATTTAGAGAAGAATTCTACATACTGGCATAAATAAACGAGGTAGCATGGTACATTTTAAACTTATTTAGTGCGAAAGATGCATAGGAGAGTGAGAGCTTTAAGAGAAAGAGGTAAATCTGGGTTCATACCAAGTACCAGGACAGCTGCGTGGAGGAGCATCTAGGCCTGAAGGCCATGTGCCCTGGAGGTGCAGGGCTACAACCAGCCCCCTCCTGGCAAGAGGCCAGGGGAAAGAAAAGAAGGGCAGGACACACCTTGTCCCAGGCTTTTAACCCACTTCCAAAGGAGAGTGGTTAATTAACCTGATTGGCTGGTGGGCACCCAGGTGTGGCCAGGTAGGGGCATGAGGTCACACAGGGGTGTGGTGAAGGCGTGGTCTTCCAGCTCACAAACCTAATCTATTTTAACCTGTATGCCTGCCTACTTCAATGACAAGACCTTTTCAGACTCTTGATGTCATTTCACAGCTATCAATCATCTATTACATTGTTATGATGAAGCCTACTATAATGTAATGAGCATTATTATGGTCAAAAGTATTGCCAATCACTTAACATGTACAATCTCATTTTAATGAGAGAGCAAACTGAGGCTTAAAGAAATTAAGAAGGCTGAAGTTGTGGCACCTGAGACACCGGCATCCTATATGGGTTCCAGTTTGTGTCCTGGTTGCTCATCTTCTGATCCAGCTCCCTGCTAACGCACCTGGGAAAGTAGCAGAAAATGGCCCAAGTGCTTGGGACCCTGCACCCACATGGGAGATTCAGGTGAAGCTCCTGGCTCCTGGCTTCAGTCCAGCCCAACCCAGTCCTGGTCGTTGTGGCCATCTGGGGAGTGATTCAGTGGATATCTCTTTCTGAAACTCTGCCTTTCAAATAAATATATAAAAAAAAAAAAAAAAAAAGGAAATCAAGGCACTTGGCCAGAGTGTCTCAACTGGTTAGTGGTAAAGCAAAGATTCACACTGAGTATGCTCAACATCAGAGGTCAAACTTTAAATCACCGAGGAAAATACTGGTGGGAACTGGGGTTCTTGGCTGAAGTTTGAGGTTTGGAAAGCTTTACACGGATTCAGTAGAGACAGATTCAGCACAGAAATCTGAAAACAACTTTCAAACACACTGACTCAAAACAAAAACTCTTGCCAGACGTCAGTTAATGCGAGAACACAGAGAAGAATGATAGCAATTTGAGGGCTACAAAATTGTAGCCAGGTGCTTCCTCCTGGTCTCCCATGTGGGTGCAGGGCCCAAGCACTTGGGCCATCCTCCACTGCCTTCCTAGGCCACAGCAGAGAGCTGGACTGGAAGAGGAGCAACTGGGACTAGAACTCGGCACCCATGTGGGATGCCAGCACCGCAGGCAGAGGATTAACCAAGTGAGCCATGGCACCGGCCCAAGAGTCATTTCTTAACTTTTGCTAATAAAGCTTTATGAATTGTGTTCAGAAACTCTGACCACACATACACCCACAAACACATCTCTCAAATAAAGTACCTAGATTTTCACTTGAGGCTCAGTATCTGTAATTATCTAGGATGTGTAACTGAAAACTGTATATTACTATATGAATTCAACTTGAATAATTTTCACTGTAATGGTTACAGTTAATTTTTTAAAATGTTTGTTATTTCAAGCCACTAATTTTTTTAAAGATTTATTTATTTATTTGAAAGTCAGAGTTACACAGAGCTAGGAGAGGCGGGGGTTGGGGGAGGAAGAAGTCTTGCTTCTGCTGGTTCACTCCCCAACTGGTCACAATGGCCGGAGCTGTGCCGATCCAAAGCCAGGAGCCAGGAGCGTCTTCCGGGTCTCCCATGTGGGTGCAGGGGCCCAAGGACTTGGGCCATCTTCCACTGCTTTCCCAGACCACAGCAGAGAGCTGGATTGGAAGTGGAACAGCCGAGTCTCGAACTGGCACCTATATGGGATGCAGGTACTTCAGGCCAAGGCATTAACCCACTGTACCACAGCAGCAGCCCCTGGTTACAATTATTTCTAAAAAATAATTAGATCAACTCCTTCAAACTGTACTTTAATATTTAACATGGTAATTTCAAAAAAATAAATATTCAAGGCCTCAGTTTTAAATTTTCCTTCAGTGTAATCCACCAAATTTGGTAACAAATGTTAAGAGCACTACACTAGGGACCGGTGCTGTGGCTCCTGGCTCCTGGCTTCTGATCAGCCCAGCTCTGGCCGTTGGCGGCCATTTGGAGAGTGAACCAGTGGATGGAAGATCTCTCTGCTGCTACCACTGTTTCTCTGTAACTCTGCCTTTCAAATAAATAAATAAATAAATATTTAAAAAAGGAAAAAACAGTACAGAACCCCTTAGAAGGAAAAGATATCTCAGGATGTTGAGTACAGCAAATCTTGAATTAAACTGGCTTTAGTGAGAAATGAAATAGCTGATTGAAAGCGTGTATACTTAGGTGATAGTCTGCTTCTAGTGAGTATGAATACATATGGTTGCTTTGTGACTAGAAAAAAGTCAATGAGCATTTGGTGGGCTGTTTGTTGCACAGTCTCTTTACTAGATCTGTTGATTCAAGCATTCTGGGACAAAGACAGGAGCCCATTGGTAGTATAAACAGGGCCAATATTAAAAGCTGTTACATTATAAGCTTGGGAAATTTCTGATCAAGATGCCATTTTGGGGAAGAGGGCATTTGGCTTAGTTTTTGGGATACCCATTTCTCACACCAGGGTGCCTGGGTTTGATTTCCAGCTTTGACTTCTAACTCTAGCTTCCTGCTAACGTAGACCTCATAGGCAATAGTGATGGCTCAAGTAATTGTGTTCCTGCTATCTGTGTGGGAGAACTGGATTGGGTTCCTGGATCCCAGCTCCAGCCCTGGCCCAGCCTTAGTTGTGGGCATTTGAGTAGTGAGCTAGCATATGGGAATTGTCGGTCTGCCTGTTTCTCTCTCAAAATAAATTTGTTTAAAGATGCCTTCTTGCAGAGACAGCAGTCATTGGGATTTCCACTTCCTACTTTGCAAAGTCTTTATTAGAAAGGTGGTATTTAGAGAGTTTAACTATTTGTTTTTGACAGGTATATTTTGTTGTAATTGAATTAGTTATTAAAATTTTATTAAGAGAGCTTAGTGGCACACTACATATATCACTTGAGATTTATAAAAAATAGTATTGCATCCTATTTTTACCAATCTAGGTCAAGTCTGTGAGAATTCACAGCACAAATGTAATGTTTCAGCCCCAAATAGTAACTTTTCTTTCCACAAGTAACTTGGCAAGTTCCAAAAAGATTCCTTAGTGACTCTGTTCAATTAATTATAGGGTACATAGGGAATTGAAAATTAAAGTAAGTGTGAGTGGAGGCCATATGGATCTCATTTTGCCTTTTAAGTGCTCATAATACTTGCCATCTCACAGGGATTTTAAGAAGCATAATATTTACAAAGCACTTTTAGTTCCTTAGGGAAAACTCTCAGCATTATTAATCTGTAATATACAGTCCTGTTTATCCACCTTACATTCAAACATATTTGACTAATTAATTGTGTTACTTTTAATTCTGTTTTCTTTTTAAAGTTCATTCCACAGCCATGCCAGGAATAATTATGAGGTTTTAAAGTACACATATTTTGCTTTTTCTAAAAAATACCAATTCTTTCCTTTTAGGTAACAAATACACTCTAGAGACTCGACCAAACCAAGAAGGCATTGATGTAAGACAAGAGCTACTGAAATTCCATTCTACGTATTATTCATCCAACTTAATGGCTATTTGTGTTTTAGGTCGAGGTAAGAACTCTTAAATTTTTTCATTGGATTGGATCATCTAAGTTTTCTGTCTTGGCTTTTTCAGTGCATTAGAAGGCTACAGACAAAGCTATTTGTCTGCTCAGAGTCTTTTGAAAATGATCTTTTTTTTTTTTTTTTTTTTTTTTGGTAGAATACTCAGTGTTCTCCAGAAAAGAAGTTTAGATGGTTTTAAACAGAAACCTGAGGAATATATAAATATTAGTAGGTGCTCTAACATGTAGAAGCAGGGAAAGAAAGTATAAAGGAAAAAATCAACAAAAAAGTTTTTCTCTGTTTCTGCCTGGGGCCATCTTTCTAGTTCTGGCTGCACTAATTGCCTGAACATTTGTCAAACAGTTAGCAATCAGTACAGGTTCCTGATACTGTTGAAGCCTTGATGATGTGAAGATAAATTGGACTCACAGAGAAGTGGAGAAGACAGGATAGTGTTGTTTGGCGGCCTCACCTTTGAAAAAGCTACATTGTGGGAATGAGCATTTAATCTAGCTGTCAAGATACTGCATTGCAGATGCCTGGGTTTGATTGCCGGCTCAGGCTCCTGACTCCAGCTTTCCACCAATGCAGAACCAGGAAGACAGCGATGATAGGTCAAGTAATTGGATTCCTGCCTCCCTGGATTGAGTTCCTGGCTCCCAGGTCCAACTCCAGTCCAGCTGCAGTTATGCAGGCATTTGGAGAGTGAACCAGTAGATGAGAGCTCGCTCTGTCTCTCAGCTTCTCAAAAACAAAGAACAAACCCTACATTTATGCTTTTAGGGTAGAAATACTCAAAAGGCACACCTGGTAAAACCTTGCTGTACCAGGCTTCACTGACATCAATACTGAAGGCCAAGAAATGTTTGCTGGTAAACCCCTCCCCCTTTCTTTTAATTCACTTATCCTGTCTGTCCATAAAGATTCCCTTGCTCCAAACATATCTATTCCCTCCATTCCTTACTCTGCAGCCACACTGGTCTGCCTTTTTTTTTTTTTTTTTTTTTTTACGATTTTATTTATTTACTTGAGAGTAAAGTTACAGACAGTGAGAGGAAGAGGAGACAGACAGAAAGGTTTTCCTTCCACTGGTTCACTCCTAAATGGCTGCAGCAGCCAGAGCTGAGCCGATCCGAAGCCAGGAGCCAGGAGCTTCTTCTGGGTCTCCCACGTGGGTGCAGGGGCCCAAGGACTTAGGCTATCTTCCACTGTTTTCCCAGGCCATAGCAGAGAGCTGGATCAGAAATGGAGCAACTGGGACTTGAACCATCATCCATATGGAATACTGGCACTGCAGGTGGAGGATTAACCTGTTATGCCACAGTGCCAGCCCCTGGTCTGCCTTTTATTTGATTCTAGACATTTTAGAATCCTACGTACATGTCAAAAAACTGAAGTGAAAATAGGTACATTTTGGATCCAGCACTGTGGCACAGTGGATTAAAGCCCCAGCCTGCAGCGCAGGCATCCCATATGTACACCGGTTCAAGTCCCAGCTGCTCCACTTCCGATCCCACTCCCTGTTAATGTGCCTGGGAAAGCAACAGAGAATAGCTCAATCTGCACCCATGTGGGAGACCCAGAAGAAGCTCCTGGCTTCTGACTTTGGATTGTCTCAGCTCTGGCTGTTGTAGCCATGTAGGGAGTGAACCAGCAGATGGAAGACCTCTCTGTCTCTACCTTTCTCTTTAACTCTTTAAAATAAATCTTAAAAAAGGAAAAGAAAATAGGTACTTAAAAAAAAAAAGATTTATTTATATATTTGAAAGGCAGTTACTAGGGGTAGGAGAGTGGGGGCAAGAAACAGAAATCTTCCATGTGCTGGTTTACTTCCCAGATAGCCATAACATCCAGAGCTGGGGCAGGCTTAAGCCAGGGCCCTGGAACTCTACCCGGGTCTTCCATGTGGTTGCAGGGGCCTAAGTACCTGAGCCATCCTCTCCTGCTTTCCCAAGCTGGATTGGAAGCAGAGCAGCTGGGACTCAAACCAGTGCCCACATGGGATGCAGACATTGCAGGTGGCTGTTAAACCCATTGTGCCACAACATCAGCCCTGAAACTAGGTACATTTTAGTAGTATAAATACACATATTCATAATTCATGAAGAAAATTTCACACTACATAAAGGCAGTTGTCAGATAGTGATTAAGTGCTCTCTAAAGAGTTCATGGAAAGTTAAAAATTGGACATAGATTATTAAGGGAAACTTCTTACTTGATTTGAATGCTTATAGCAACAAGTGGTGAAATGTAATACCATTTATAAGTAACCTGTTTTTGGTAACATAGGATCACAGTGAGTTTTGTCTTGTTTCTAAAAAGATAAAGTTGTTTTGCTCAGTTTTCTTTTTGGAATAATAGTTATATGTGTACTTAAAAAAATTATTCTACATAGAAAGGTATAAAATAAAAAGCAAGTTCTTCCTTATCCTACTCTATAACTAATATACAATTTCCTCAAAGTTAATCACCCAAGTCATTTCTTACTTTACTTTCAAAAGTAGAATTTTGGTAATATGCTTATGTATGTGTTTGTGGGTGTGTGTCTTTAAAAACATTAAATTGATTGGGACCAGCATTGTAGCTTTGTGAGTTAAGCTTCCTCTTGTGATGCTGATGCTGCCATCCCATATTTGAGTGTAGGCTGGAGTCCTGGCTGCTCCACTTCCAGTCCAGCTCCTTGCAGATGTGCCTGGGAAAGTAATAGGGATAATGGCCCAAGTACTTAGATCCCTGCCACCCACTGGCCCAGCTCTGGCCATAACTGCCTCTTGGGGAGTGAACCAACAGCTGGAAGACTTATTTTTATGTTCCTATCCCCACCCCACTTCTGTCATTGTGCCTTTCAAATAAGTAAATAAACAAAAATTAAATGAGATTATACTGCATGGCATTGTTTTGTGGCCTGCAGTTTTCATTTTTTAAAAAGATTTATTTATTTATTTGAAAGAGTTACACAGAGAGAAAAGCAGAGTCAGAGAGAGAGAGAGAGAGGTCTTCCATCCGCTGGTTCACTCCCCAATTGGCTGCAATGGCCGGAGCTGTGCTGATCCAAAGCCAGGAGCCAGGAGCTTCTTCCAGGTCTCCCACATGGATGCAGGGGCCCAAGGATGTGGGCCATCTTCTGCTGCTTTCCCAGGCCATAGCAGAGAGCTAGTTTGGATATGGAGCAACCTGGACTTGAACCAGCACCCACATGGGGATGCCAGCACTGCAGGCTACAGCTTTACCCTCTATGCCACAGCCCTGGTCCTGCAGTTTTCATTTGACAGAGCTTTGAGATACTTTAGAGACAGCATCAATGACTGCATACAGTTCTACTGTGTGGAGGTTTCATAGTATCCACATACTGACAGACGTTTAGGTCATTTCCATCTTTTGTTGTTGTTATAATAGTGTTGGAATGAAGATCTAAAACCCCTTATTTATTTATTTATTTAATATTTTATTTATTTGAGAGGCAGAGTTACAGACAGAGAGAGAGACAGAGAAGTCTTCCATCTGCTGGTTTACTCCCCAAAGGGCTGCAACGGCCCATGCTAGGCCAGGCTAAAGCCAGGAGCCAGGAGCTTCTTTGGGGTCTCCCACATGGGAGCAGGAGCCCAAGCACCTGGGCCATCTTCCACTGCCTTCCCAGGCCATCACCAGGGAGCTGGATTGGAATTGGAGCAGCCAGGACTATAAACAGCTCCCTATGGATGCAGGTGCCCAGCTAGAGGTTTAACCTACTACACCACTGTACCCATCCTCTGAGTAAAACCTTTATAGGGGGTCGGTGCTGTGGTGCAGCAGGTTAAAGCCCCAGTCTACAGTGACGGCATCCCATAGAGGCACTGATTAGAGTCTTGGCTGCTCCGCTTCTGATCTAGCTCCCTAGATCTGCCTTCTCTGGGTCTCCCACAGGGGTGGCAGGGGCCCAAACATAAAGGCCATCCTCTGCTGCATTCCCAGGCACATTAGCAGGGAGCTAGTTTGGAAGTGGAGCAGCCTAGATATGAACCAGCACCCATATGGGACGCTGGCGTTGTAGACAGGCGCATTACCATCTGTGCCAAAGTGCCAGCCACTGTTTCTAATATTTGTTTTAAATTTATTGCAAAATAGTATTTGTGAAACTATTGATATTTTAAATAATATTTATAAATTTTTTTAGCTCTAATGTGTGATAGGTGTGAGGCATAATATCACTATTGCTTTAGCAGTTATATACATACTGAGATGGATTTTTGGTGTAGCAGTTATGATGCTCCTTGGAAAACCCACATTCTTTATCAAGATCCCTAGGTTTAAGTCCTGGCTCTGCTTCTTATTCCAGCTTTCTGCTGATGCACACCCTGGTGGAGAGCAGGTGATAGCCCAAGTCCTCCCAGCTGCCCACATCGGAGACCTGGTTTGAGCTCCCATTCCCTGGCTTTGTCCTGATTGTTACAGGCATTTGAGGAGTGAATCAGCTGATGAGCAATCTCTGTGTGCCTTTGGAAAAATAAAATAAATTCCTTATAAAGGAAGTTATGTAAACACTGATAAGATTTTACTGAGTGCTTCCTCTATCAGATGCAGCTTATTTTTTTTTTTCAGTTCCATGTTTTGTTTTCAGTAGTCTTGTTATTTTTCAGGAAAGCCTAAAGTCTTAGAAATTTTTTTGAGGTTTTCTTTATATTTATTTGAAAGGCAGAGGTGGAGAGACAGAGGAGACAGAGAGAATTGATCTTTCATCTTCTGGTTCACTCCCCAAATGGCCGCAACAGCTGAGTCTGGGCCAGACCGAAGATGGGAGCCCAGAACTCTATCCAGGGTGGCTGGGGCCCAAGAAGTTGGGCCAGCATCCATTGCTTTCCTGAGTGCATTAGCAGGGAGCTGGATCAGAAGCAGAGCAGCTGGGACTCTATAATCATTGTCCCTATGGATGCTGGTGTCAAAGACGGTGGCTTAGCCTGCTCCACCACAACACTTTAAGGCCTTTAGGTCTTAAATCTTATCTGCTGTATGTTACTATTAGTTTAAGTTCTGTTTTTAATGTTGTTTTCTTCTAGAATCTTTAGATGACTTGACTAATCTGGTGGTAAAGTTGTTTTCTGAAGTAGAAAACAAAAATGTCCCATTACCAGAATTTCCTGAACACCCTTTCCAGGAAGAACATCTTAGAGTAAGTGCATGTATTTCTGCTATTTTTTCCTCTTAAATTTATGGACAAAATATACACCTGGTTTATCAGAATAGATGAAAAATATTGGAGATATCATTGTTTATGCGGTTTTTAATATTTTTCAAGGTATTCTCATCAGTTTCATATTTATTAGGAACATGTACAGTACACACACATACACACACACACAAACTCTGTGTTCTGATCTTTGCAAGCTGAAAGTAGTTTTAGTAGCTGTAGCGTGGCCAGACTGTTGAAGCTGTTATCCAGTGGCAGAAGGAAAGTATCCAAAACTAGCTGAATGGTCCAAGGGACCAAGCATGTAATAAGATTCAACTGAGAAGGCCAGGATCATTTATCCCTTTGTGGTTGGTGTGATTTTTTCTGGCAATTGAAAAATCACTCCTAAATTTGAGATTCTTCCATGACAATTGTTATTCCTTGTGGTCTGTAAATATTTTATTCAGTAGCAGTTGTATGTAGTTATTCCGTGATTTTTTTTTCCTTTGGACTCCACAGCAACTTTACAAAATAGTACCTATTAAGGACATTAGGAATCTTTATGTGACATTTCCCATACCCGACCTTCAGCAATACTACAAATCAAATCCTGGTCACTATCTTGGTCATCTCATTGGGCATGAAGGTCCTGGAAGTCTGTTATCAGAACTTAAATCAAAGGGTAAGTCTCTTGGGCAGCAGGTTCTGAGTGAAGCACCCTCCTCATTTTTTTTTTTTTTTAAATTTATTTTTTGACAGGCAGAGTGGACAGTGAGAGGGAGAGACAGAGAGAAAGGTCTTCCTTTGCCGTTGGTTCACCCTCCAATGGCTGCCGCGGCCGGCACGCTGCGTCCGGCACACCGCGCTGATCCGATGGCAGGAGCCAGGAGCCAGGTGCTTTTCCTGGTCTCCCATGGGGTGCAGGGCCCAAGCACCTGGGCCATCCTCCACTGCACTCCCTGGCCACAGCAGAGAGCTGGCCTGGAAGAGGGGCAACCGGGACAGAATCCGGCACCCCAACCGGGACTAGAACCCGGTGTGCCGGCGCCGCTAGGCGAGGATTAGCCTAGTGAGCCGTGGCGCCGGCCCTCTGGCTCTCATTTTCTCTTAAATGCCTCTTGTGAAAGGAACATTTTTAGAAGAAATTGCATTTTGGATGAATGAGTGAGTTGGTGGTTGTTAGTATTTTTTTGTGTGTGGGTCTGGAATCTTTTTTTTTTTTAATAATTTGTTGCACCTTTCAGTGTTGAGCAGTGAAGATTAGATATTTCAAAAGATAATATTGTTTGTTTTAAATGAGAAAGAAGTAAAAAACATAAAAGCCCACATTCAAATGTTCTTTTTACCATCTTTGTGAAACTTCAGTATGTATTATTTATTGGTTTGCTGTTTTCCATCTTTTCAGAAGGGTGAAAAATCTAGACAGTAGTTGACTTACAAGCCGCTCTTAACTCATACTCTTCACTTTTCTAGAATAGTTAAGCATAGTGATCTGCTCTTGATTGGGAATTGATTTGAGAAGTCTTGAGGAGGGCTCCCAACTCACAAAATCCATTAGTCTTCCAGTGTCTGAAACTGCTTTTTCTGAACTGATTTTTTTTCTGCAAAAGGTCCATTTTAATCTTTTAGGAGCATATAGAATGAATTTTTAAAAGCTTCCTTATCTCAAAAGAAGGCACACATGCAATCATGTTGATTGTCTTTGCATCTTGCAGGCTGGGTAAATACTCTTGTTGGTGGGCAGAAGGAAGGAGCACGAGGTTTTATGTTTTTTATCATTAATGTGGACTTGACAGAGGAAGGATTATGTAAGTATTGATTTATTGTTTGACCTTTTGGCTTTTGAATGAAAAGTGACTTTCTTTGATTTTGTTTTTGTTTTTAGTTTTTTTAAGTTCTTAATGCTGTGGATCTGTTTCATGTTGAAAAATCTATAAACACTTTAATTCATATAACTTACCATTGTATTTTTCATGTGTAAGTTGGCCTTGTTTCATGGATGACCCTCCTCCCTCCCACTGCTTAACAATTGATTGTTATGTTGCACGTGTAAAATGTGTACTTAGCTTTTCATTTGCTCAATTACCACCCAGCACCCCTTCTGTCACATAACCCTGAGCCCAGAGGGCCATGAGGGTGGGACACTTACAGCCAGTCTCAGGGAGGTAAGGACTCCATTCTCTAAGAAGGACCATCTTCCACTTACCTGACTTAACCTTAGGAGTGAGCTCACTGCTTTAAGGAATTCAAGAACTGAATGATTTTTAAGTGTGCCCCTTTTTTCCAGTACATGTTGAAGATATAATTTTGCACATGTTTCAATACATTCAGAAGTTACGTGCAGAAGGACCTCAAGAATGGGTTTTCCAAGAGTGCAAGGTACTTTTGTTTCACCAAAATTGTTCTTAAGGAATCTATTTTTCAAAACCAAATAAATGTAAATTATTTTAAATTTAAAGCCCAGTTAAACTTTTAAAGCTTTTTTTTCCTAATTGAAATCTAAAAGTTTGCAATGCATAATAGTATTAGATAAGGTTTAGTTATACTAGTTTGATTCATTACTTGGGGCACTATTAAGGGTTAAGGCATCAAGTAGCCTTTTTTAGGAGGGAAAGGGGAAGAAATCAGATTGTTTTTCCATCCCTCTGAAGAAAACCAGCAGTTATTGAGCTGGTGTCTGTCAGGGCTTATGTTACTCCCTGCCTGAAGCTGCATGAGCTGTCATTTTCAGATCTGATAATAAAAATCTGTGGTAAACTCTTAAAGAAATAGTCAATTGCTTTATGTATGGTTGTGTTCTTAAAAGTGATTCTATTAGTGTTTATGTGGAAAAATGTGGCTATCTTTTTTTTTCTTTTTTTTGTATTAAATAAAAAGTATTTACCTTCCAAAATTTCAAAAGCTTCTTTTGAAAGAGTTTTTAAAAATATGTACTTTGTATTTAAGGTGTATCAAGATTTTGAAATGTACCATCTTATTTAACGAGGATAATAGTGTATAGTTATAATATCGGTTTTTGGTAATTATAACAATAACTTCTAATCTGACTGCAGTTCTTTGAATGGGTCACCAAAATCACCTCCTCAGATAGATCTCTGGCCTCCCAATCTAAATCTGAATCTTAGTCGTAATTGTTGGATCTCTCAAAATTCTACACAGTTGTTTAAACCTTTGACTGATAGTTCCAACAGTATAGGCTACAGAATCATATCCTTTATTTGTTGGTTTTGTTAAAAATTATTTACCTATTTTGCTTTGGTTTTAAGTCTAGGTTGACAGATTGAGTCTTACACACATCAGATTTTCTTTCTTGTTTTGTACATTGCTAAATCAAGCACAGCCATTTTTCCAAAAGGTGTGATAAAGTTAACCTTGAAGTAGAAAGTTCATAGTTATATGTAACACTATAAAAAAAGTATCTCTGAATAATAGTTGACTTATGTGTAATTGGATTAACTTTGTGTTCTAGGACTTGAATGCTGTTGCTTTTAGGTTTAAAGATAAAGAGAGGCCACGAGACTATACATCCAAAATTGCAGGAATATTGCATGTAAGTTTGTTGTTATACACTATAAATTGGTGTGTGAAATAGTTCAGTGATCCTCCATCTGTTATTTTCAGTACTCTACAAATGATAAAAATTGAAGCTATAGTATAAAACGTTATACTTTGTAGCAACCAGGCAAACTTTGATGCCAAAATATGTTGAAATTCTTCATTTCCATCATCCTAAAAATTATCTGTAATCTTTTCATTACACAGGAGCTGTAAGTATTTTTCACTTCTGTAATGTGTCTCTGCTACTGCCTCTATGAAAGCTGTAGATGATCTGCTTCTCTCCATCTTCATTGCTCTCCCCCTAGTCTGAGCTGCCATCATTTCTTGTATGGATTACATCATAGTCTCTTACCCGAGATCACTATTTTCCATCTTGTCCCCCGATATAGATTATTTTTCCAGCCCAAATGATCTTTTGAAAACTAAAATCAGGTTGTTTCTGTTTACAGTATTTAGTGATTTCCCATCAGAGTTGGCATAAAATTCTAAAAATGTCCTTGACCTATAGAATGACTTGGCTCTGGCTATCTTTTTGGCTACTATTCTCCAATTCAGCTCTCCCATTCCGATTCTGCTCCAGCTATGCTGGCTCTCTTATTTATTTATTTATTTATTTCCTTCTTTCCTTCCTTCCAAGATTTATTTATTTGTTTGAAAGGTACAGTGACAGAGAGAGATATCTTCCATCTGCTGATTCACTCCCTCAATGTTCACATAGTCCACAATGGCCAGAACTGGGCCAGGCCTAAACCAGGAGGCTAGAACTCCATCCAGGTGACCCATGTGGATGGCAGGGATCCAAATACTTGGGTCATCTGCTGCTGCTTTCCCAGGCACATTAGCATGGAGCTGGATCAGAAGCAGAACAGCTGGAACTTGAACTGGCACTTCAATATGGTATGCTGGTGTTGCAGTTGGTGGCTTAACCTGCTACTCCACAACACCAGCACTTCTCTGTTTAATTTTCACCATTAAGTTTATTTCTCTGTCTTAAAGCCTTTATATTTGCTGTTTTCTCCACATTGAACACCTTCTATCAGATCTTTGCATGGCTAGATTCTCTTTATCAGGAGAATTCCCACTCAGATGTCGCCTCCTCAGAAAGATCTCTGGCCTCCCAATCTAAAATAATGCCCTTGCCCCTTCTCTTTTTTTCTTCGTAGTACCTATCTTTTAAATGACAATATTTGTTTCTTGTTCACCACCCTCTCAATTAGAATGCCTGGTCCTTGGAGGACTGGGACTTCATGTGTCTTAGCTACCATTGTTTTCATAGTATCCAGAGCAGGGGCTGGCTCTAAGTAGTTTATTAAATATTTGTTGAATGAATGAATTGGTCAGTCTACTCAGTCTATTTCAGATTTCTGTTATTAGAAAACATCTTCTCCATTACTTATTTTTAAAAAATTTTTAGAAGATTATTTATTTGAGAGGCAGAGAGAGAGAGAGAGGGATCTTCCATCCTCTGGCTTACTCCCCAGATGGCACCAACAGCTGGAGCTGTGTTGATCTGAGGCCAGGAGCCAGGAGCTTCTTCTAACTCTCCCATGCGAGTGCAGGGGCCCAAGGACTTGGGCCATCTTCTATTGCTTTCCCAGGCCATCAGCAGGGTGTTGGATTGGAAATGGAGCACCTGGGACTTGAACCAGCACCCATATGGGATGCCAGCACTGCAGACAGTAGCTTTACCTGTTATGCCACAGTGCCGACCCCTCTGTTACTTTTCTACACTAGCCAAAAATATGTCATTTTGCCCCATAACAACTTTCTAAATACTTTCTGATTTCATTCATAGAAATTTGGAAGGAAATTCTATTTATAAAAGTGTATGTATTTTATATTTAAAATCTTATAAGTGTCAGCATTTCACTATCAAATTTTCTTCATTAACAAGTACTCAATTTTTAACCAGAAATATTACTCAAAATTTTTCATCAAAAGAAATGTGATTTTACTGTTTATAAGTAAAGTATATTGGGCCTTTGAGATAATCCCACAACATAAAACTACTTAAAGATATGGTAGGAAAGAGAAGATTTAAGGCTCCAGAAAATTTTCCAATGGAATAAAGTTTAATTGAAGGAAAGGAGGCTGTAAAATAATGGATTTATTGTGTTGAATTTCTGTTTGCCTTGATAAACTGTGCATAGCCTTAAAAATTTTATTTATTTATATTTTCCTTCTTAAAAGTATTATCCTCTAGAAGAAGTACTCACAGCTGCATATTTGCTGGAAGAATTTAGACCTGACTTAATAGAAATGGTTCTCAATAAACTCAGACCAGAAAATGTCCGGTGAGTCACCACACATATTTTACTGTTATATCCTAAATTTTTAGTGATTAGAATCTGAAAATTTGAAATTGTGGGTAAAACGTTTTATCAAGCATGATTACAAAAGTAAGTAATAATATAATGAACCAATACCAAGCTTCAACAGTCATTACATGACTAATTTTTCTTTCTTCACTTTTTCTCCCTCCACGTGAGGCTGTTTTAAGGCAGTGTCTTTGAAAGAAGAAGGCTGTTTTTAAAAATGTAATTATAATTTCATTATTATGAATAAAATACAGTAAGTCATGTTAATCTAGCTTCATCCTTGCCTGAGTGCTTCCAAGGCATCAGCATACCTCCTTGGGTCTTACCAGGGAGGGCTCCCTCTGACCCGTGGGTAAGCAGGGAATCGAAAGTTTGAATACTTCCAGCAGAGGTATTCCTGCTGGAAGGGGTCAGTTCTAGAAGCTTGTGAGTCAGCACACGGTATAAAGTCTGATGACACAGGAAAACAAAGCAGACTGGGACTCCGCCTCTCCTACACTCTCAGTCAGTACCCTGCTGCATGGGGATTTCCCCACCCACCAAGCAAGCACTGCTGGAGCAGCAGACACCGGCTGGGCGTCCTCCGGCCTGGTCAGCCCTGACGCTGTCTGCCTGAAGCTAGGAATGAGAAATTTGATTTAGTGATAGAGTGCTTGTATGACTATAGATAGTTATTAGATTTTCTAGATTTTTTTTTTTTTTTTGACAGGCAGAGTGGACAGTGAGAGAGAGAGACAGAGAGAAAGGTCTTCTTTTGCCATTGGTTCACCCTCCAATGGCCACCGTGGCCAGCGCGCTGCGGCCGGCGCACCGCGCTGATCCAAAGGCAGGAGCCAGGTACTTATCCTGGTTTCCCATGGGGTGCAGGGCCCAAGGACTTGGGCCATCCTCCACTGCACTCCCTGGCTACAGCAGAGAGCTGGCCTGGAAGAGGGGCACCTGGGACAGAACCCGGTGCCCCAACCGGGACTAGAATCTGGTTTGCCGGCGCCGCAAGGCAGAGGATTAGCCTATTGAGCTGCGGCACCCGCCAGATTTTCCAGATTTTAAAATTATAGTCAGAGGCCTTCATTTTATAGTTTAAAAAATTTATTAAGAGTCAAAATTTAGAAATCTTCCTCAATGATAATTCTGAAATTATATAGAAGTTAAGTGATTTATTAATGATATCATGCACTCAGTCACAACAGCTTGTGGTATATCTCGAGGATAATCTGTCTTGACAACATTTTAAGTCCATTTTTGTTGCATAAGCCTTAACTACTCAAGAATTGCTTATGATGTGGAAACTGAGTATTATACTTAAAAACTGCAGGAGAGGCCGGCAGCGTGGCTCACTTGGTTAATCCTCCACCTGCGATGCCGGCATCCCCTATTGGCACTGGGTTCTGGTCCCAGTTGCTGCTTTTCCAGTCCAGCTCTCTGCTCTGGCCCGGGAGGGCATTGGGGGATGGCCTGGGTGCTTGGGCCCCTGTGCCTGCGTGGGAGACCAGGAGGAGGTGCCTGGCTCCTGGCTTCGGATCGTCATAGCTCCATCTGTTGCGGCCATTTGGGGTGTGAACTAGTGGAGGGAGGACCTTTGTCTCTCTTTCTCTCTCTCTCTCTCACTGTCTAACTCTATCTGTCAAAAAAAAAAAAAATACAGGAAATGACTAAAAAGTTACAGATTGTGAGCTCATCTTTCTACTTTTAACAGTAAATACTAAGAACAAATAAACAAACAAACAAAAAAACAATAAATACTGTTTCTCAGCCCTATGTAATTTATTTAAATATCAAGGAATTGAAAAACCAGAAACTCTTCATTTCATTTTCTTTTTCTTTTTTAAAATTAATTAATTTATTTGAAAGGCAGAGTTAGAGAGCTTTAAACTTAATAATAGAACTCATTCGATCTTTTATTTTAAAAAAATATTTATTTATTTACTTGAAAGGCAGAGTTACAGAGAGAGCTAGAAACAGAGAGAGATCTTTTGTCTGCTGGTTTACTTTCCAAATGACCACAATGGCTGGAGGTGGGCCAGGCTGAAACCAGTAGCCAGGAGCTTCTTCCAGGTCTCCCACATGGGTACAGGGCCCAGTGCCTCAGGCCATCCTCCACTGCCATCCCAGGTGCATCAGCAGGGAACTGAACTGAATGGGAAGTGAAAGATCCAGGATTTGAACCAGTGCTCATATAGGATTCCAGTGCTGCAGTTGGGGGCTTAATTTTCTATGCCACAGCGTTGGCCCCTAGATAACCTTTAATGTTATTTCCAGTGACTGGCTTTGTGTGGTTAGGCCACTTAATAGTCATCAAATTTTGATCATTTTTTTTCTTCAATTAATGTTTATTGAATTATCAGTGTGAAACTTCTCAGTTCATAGTCCTGCAAAGGGGGACTTGTGAAAAGTTGACTTTATATAATGTCAAGAGCACTGGCTCTCAGGGCTGGTGATGTGGCACAGTGGATTAAGCTGCAGCCTGCAACACCAACATCCCATATGGGTGCCGGTTTGAATTTTGGCTGCTCCACTTCTTTTTTGTATTTTTTTATTTTTATTATTTTTTTTTTTTTATTTTTTGACAGGCAGAGTGGACAGTGAGAGAGAGAAAGAGAGAGAAAGGCCTTCCTTTGCCGTTGGTTCACCCTCCAATGGCCGCCGCAGCTGGGGTGCTGCGGCTGGCACACCGCACTGATCTGAAGCCAGGAGCCAGGTGCTCCTCCTGGTCTCCCATGCGGGTGCAGGGCCCAAAGACTTGGGCCATCCTCCACTGCACTCCCTGGCCATAGCAGAGAGCTGGCCTGGAAGAGGGGCAACCGGTACAGAATCCGATGCCCCGACCAGGACTAGAATCCGGTGTGCTGGCGCCGCAAGGCGGAGGATTAGCCTATTGAGCCGCTCCCTGCTAATATTTCTGGGAAAGCAACAGAGGGTGGCCCAAGTCATGGGACACACAGGTGAGTTCCAGGCTCCTGGCTTTGGCCTAGCGTAGCCCTGGCTGTTGCAGCCATTTGGAGAGTGGACTAGCAGATGGCATACTGATCTCTCCTGTCTCTCCCTCTCTCTGTTTTTCAAATAATTGAATAAATATTCAAAAAAATTTGATTTCATTTACTTGAATCTTTGCCATCTTCTAAATTGGTGATAGTACTGTATCCTGTCTGATTCACAGTGATTTACCCAAACTGAAAAGTGTTATACAAACATAAACTAGTGCTGTTTAAGATTGTATCAGGGGGCCAGCGCTGTGGCGCAGAGGGTTAAAGCCCCAGCCTGCAGCACTGGCATCCCATATGGTGCCAGTTCAAGTCCCAGCTGCTCCACTTCTGATGCAACTCTCCGCTATGGCCTGGGAGGGCAATGGAGGATGTCCCAGGTTCTTGGGCCCCTGCACCCACGTGGGAGACCTGGAGGAAGCTCCTGGCTCCTGGCTTTGGATCAGCTCAGCTCTGGCCATTGTGGTCATCTGGGGAGTGAACCATTGATGGAAGACCTCTCTCTCTCTGTCTCTCTGACTCTGCCTCTGTCTATAACTTTGTATTTCAAATAAATAAAATAAAACTTGAAAAAAGACATTGCAGGCATTTGGGGAATGAGCCAACAGATAGCTGCTCCCTATGTTTGTCTCCTTGTTTTTCTCTTTCTGTGTCAGAAAACCAAACAACTATTGTATAGTAGAAGGTGCTTTTTCAAAAAGATTATTTATTGTTGAGAGGCACAGAGAGAGAGAGAGAGAGAGGGAAACCTCTACTCTTTCACTCCCAAAATGCTCATTAACAGCTGGGGCTGGGGCTGGGTGGGCTCTGCCAAAGCCAGGAGCCAGGAACTCACTCTGGGTCTCCCACATGGGTGGCAGGGACCCAGGTTCTTGAGCCGTCACCTGCTGCCTCCCAGGGTGCACATTAACAGGAAGCTGGAAGCTAGAAGAGGGAGCAGAGCTAAGACTTGAACTCAAGACAGTCCTATTGGGATACAGGCATCTCAGGTGGCTTCTTAACCAATATACCAAATGCCCACCCCAGGATGTACTCCCTCCCAATGTAAAGCATGATTAATGTTATAAAACTTTCTGGTTTTGAGTCAGGATTTGACCCAGCAACTTTGTAGAAATGAATTTGCTAGAATATGGATTTCATTTCTGATTGAATTGTATGTTTCTGAATTTGGTATATTCTAGAATTAAAGTTAAGTACCTCTTTTTCTCTTTACGCTCACTTTTAAAGAAAAAGTGTTCTTCCTCTGTAAGATTGGTCTCAGTGACTTAACCACTGTAAATGTTGCAAATCAGTAGTGTAGAGAACAGTGTGCCAGCTGCCAGGCCAGACAGGGGTTGCAAAGGATAGAGTGACTTTCTTTAATACCTACTGAGACAAGTTTAACATTGCAGCCAAGTAGGGAAATCCTCAGAATGAAAGGAACCTTGGAAGTGATTTAATCAAACCCGTACCAAGTATATCTCTCCTCTGTAGTAGGTAAGTAGCTACCAACCTCAGCTTAAATTCTTCCAAGAATGGGGAACTCATTAATAAATACCAGAATAGCCAGTTCCGTTTTTGTCAGCCCTAATTGTTAGAAAGTTATCTTGAAGGTTGAGACTTGATCTACATACTTAAAGGTATTTATGTATTCCTACTCCATCTACATCTTCACCCTCCTTCTTCCTCAATCCTGTTACTTGGTGCACATTTTTTCACATTAAACTTAGAATTGCTGCAGTAGAAGCTCCATTCCTTTTGGAGTAGTTATTCTGGATAATTCATGGATGTCCTAGAGATAACTATGCTGTTATCTGAATGTTTACACATCTGCAGACTTTTGTCAGCTGACATTGCTTCATCTACTGGTTAATGGTATTCAGGCTCCACCCTTTTCCCTTTAGGAAATTAGAGCATCTGCCCAACTCCAGTCTTCTTCCTCTTCATGCCCTCAGCATTTCTAAAACAGGATAAACAATGATTCTGTTAGGATTTGTTAGTTGCCTAAGCAACAAA